AAGGTGCCGGATTCTCCAGTTCTTAAGAGAACCCACGAGGGGGTGAATACCCATGAGATGTGGGATCATTGGACAACTTCCGCACAACCAAATCTAAACATTGAAACTCATTCTTCGTGACAGTTTTGACATATTTGTCTCATTGAGCCTCTGATGCAATTGAGACCAGCCGCCTAAAAATACGGCCTGATTTACCATAGTGAAGTACCCCCTCAACTGAGATGCCATCCTCATTTGAATTGCGATGAAGCTCATCACGAGCACTACCAAACAACTTAGAAAACAATGGCCGATCATCGAACATGAGAGTCACCTTTTGCATTCCAACAAAACCGACATTCCCAAACTTATCTTCCTCCACACTTCCTCCATGATATAGGATGACTACGTTGTCCATCTAGTTGGTATGCACAACATCAAAGTTATTATGGGTTTAACTAATAAAGGTATAACTAAATTACATACATAATTAAGTATCCCACTGTCTACCTGAATAAATATCTAAACTACCTAGCTATCTATCTAACTATATAAGTAATTTTAGTAACTACAGTTACTACAAGTACTACCTATATATAACTTAATTACCTAACTATCTAACTTACAAATAAACTAAATAACTAAATCAACTACCTACAAAACTACATAAATAACTAACAATCTATGTAAATTAGCTAAGCTAAATATATAACCTCTACATAATTAAATTGTCTCATTAAATACCTAAATTAACTAACTAAATTACATCACTATATAACTAAATTAGCTAACTAAACTATCTAAACTAACTAAATTGTAAAACAAAATTATAGAAAATATAAAAAAATTACCTTACCGCTGACGGCCGGTCGAGGGAGAGAGGTGGCCTCACATGGCGGCCGGTGGGAGGGTTGGCGGCGGCGCCGCCAGGCGCGGTCGCCGATGGCCCGCCGGCCGGTGGGGACGCCGGGGAGAGACGGGGGGCCGCCCTTGCCGCCGGTGCGCGAGGAGGAGGAGGATGGGGCGACCAGGGCGGCCGAGGGAGCGGACAGTGGCGCGGAGCTCTTCGGAGGTGGTGGCGCAGCCTGCTGCAGTGGCACGGGTAGCCGGAGGTGTTGGCGCGGGCGGCGGCCGGAAGAGACAGAGAGAGCTCGTGCCGGAGTCGAGAGGAAGAGGAAGAGGGCGTGTGGTATAGGTATAAGACCTCGGCACCAAGATCTGTGGCTCCAACCTCGGCGTCAGGATTCGTGGCGCCGACCTACCTGCTACATCAGCGCCACTTGGATGCTCCGTTGTTCCCGACCAGGCATCTCGGCGCCAAGATCTACGGCGCCGAGTTGGCACCGACCCTAGGGTCCAAAGATCGGTTTACGTCGCTTATGGGGCCAAACATAAATTTTCTTAAAAAAAAGGACCAAATTGAAAAAAAATTGGGTCCGTAGGAACGGCTTCAAACATGCTTCTTTCACAGCGCATCGGTTCCTAGCCAATGAGGCCGTGCGGCTCCGGGTCGACTCAAACCAGCCCAGGCTTCGTCCCCACCGGCGCCACCGCGTCTGCTCTGTTCTCTTTCATCCGCATCCACTTTCCCCATCCCCTACCGCCGCCACTGCCTCTGCCTCTCCCGTTCGCCGCCGTCGTTACCTTCGCCTACCTTGGTTCCAGGCCCCACGCGAACTCTGCGACAATCCGGCTCCTCGGGCGTCCAGCCACCGGAGGCAGGTCAGGTCCTCCATGGTTGCCGCAGATCCGCAGTCGCATTGCTATGGACCATGGTGCTGATGATTGATGAACATTAGGAGCAGACCGATGGTGTTCAGGTACCTGTTGGTCAGGTATATGCCTGCCTATTGGGAAGTTGCAGATTGACTTCCCCGTCTCTCCGAATGTTTCTTAATGGTTCTGTGCTTCACTGCTGTAATTTAACAGGTTCTTTCTGAAGCCAAGGACAAATAACAGTCAGCGATTAATTGTTTTTGTTATCTAACAATTTAGTGTTATCACTTTGTTACAGAAGCTACAGGCCTAATAATTATAGCTATTAGTTATTTGGGAAAATTGATTTTGCTGTATGCCACTGTGTTGTATTCTGCTAATGCTCAACCTGCATTCCTCATTTTAACCTTGTCATGCACAATCTCAATTCAAATGCTGTCTTCTGCATGGTTGTAATGGGTCAAGGCTCCAGGTTATTGGTGTTTGACATGTAAAGGCTTCGATTTTGTTGTCCTAAGTCGCATTCATTATGCCTTTTTTTTTTTAGCCCTTTTGTGGAGCTTGGCACGAGCCAAGGGTCTCCCCCCGCCAGATATCAGAGGGGTGGGTTAGGCTTAGTTTTTGGACTCCTATAATGGTCATCTTTCTATGTGTAAAGGGTGATTAGATTCCAGGGATCTAGTGTGTGTGAGAGTCTATGTATGACTCTTTCTTCTACTATTAATATAATGATATGTAGCTCTCCTGCGCGTTCGAGAAAAAAAAAAGTGCAGGGGTGTTCTCTGCCCAGTCAAAACTGGAACAGGGGTTGGGCCTGGAATTTTATAAAAATCCTATGCATATGGTTGTATAGGAATGTAGTTTCATGACTGTAGGCTTTGTAATCTGAGAGCTTGTAGTGGTAAACTCAGGCTCAGTTGTAATATGTACAATGTGCTTTCATATTTGAAATATATATGGTTATCCTGAATAGAAGCATGTTATTTCAAATGCATATCACGTGGATGTTTTTTTAATGCATACCTGCTGCGTGATGCAATTCATTGAAATGGATAAGCTCACTGTCTGCAATGACCTTTTATTCAATAAATATTTCTATATTTGAAATCGAACAGAGAGAATCTCTCAAACACAAATCATCTAGATGTTCCCTTTTGTGTAAAAAATCAAACTCTGTGTTGACAACACCAAAGCGTTGATGATTGAATGTTTCTGTGCCAAAATAATTTAAACAGAGTGCTATTAATTCAACCCGTATTTAAAAAGATACAATTCAGTGACCCAAAATGGCTACTCATTGAAGTGTAACTTTCTAGCAGATTTTGACAATGTGGCATCTTGTTCAACTCCAAGCAGAAGACCAGTAATAGCATGTTCGCTTGGTCATAAACGATCGTGGATTATAAGCCAAAACAGTATTTTTCTCTCACACCAAACCAGCCAGCAGTAATAATCTACGATCGTTTCAGCCGAAACGAACAGGCTTAAGTCCGCCTTGGATGAAAGGAGCTGACATGTTTGAAGATGGCCCATACACATCATTTGCAAACATCGGCATAGTGGCATTAGCATGTCCGCCTTGGATAAACAGAGTAACCATGGTCGAAGATTGTCCATACGCTTCATTTTCAAACATTTGCATTCCACTGTTATTGCCAATGGTTCCAGCATGAAGGTCATGTGTACATAAAATGAAATTTTTTATATCAATTGCTACTAGGTAAATAAAATATGAAAAGAAATAATGAGCCCAAGTCATGTATTACGATCAATTGTCTTGGATCACCACATTCATCTCTATTTTCTGCAACAGTTTTGGGATCTTCTCCGGTAGTCGGATCTGTAAGTAAGAAATAAAAAGAACTGCTATAGAAGTCGCCAAATGAGGGGAAAAAATAGAATGGCTAGGATCTCATTCGCATCACTTCATCAGTAAGCGAACAAGGAGAAAGATCAATTTTTAGTGAGTTTTTTGAATCGTGAAATGAAGAGTTGTAACAACCTGACCACAACTCTGATAGAAATTTGGCAATAGAACCAAAAAAAAACTTGAAATAGGGAGGTTCAGGAGCAGAGTTTTATCCTCCTGATCGTGCAGGGGACCTGAGCCTGCTGAACAAAGGACTCGGCTGAAGGGGATGAAAAGTACATCTTGTGATCCGTTTGCAGCAATACACATCAGGAAAGTGACCATTCTCCAAACTGAACTTCCACTCATTTGCTGAAAATATCAAGAAAAGAAGACAAGGATGTTCTGTTTATAGCTTCAGCACAGAAATGGTGCAACCATGATTTTTTGATGTGTTAGGAACTCAGGATCAAGGTATAGGTAAAATCAGCAACATCCTGCCATCACCCAGCAGAGATGAAGATGGTAAGTGGTAACTACAAACAGTGTTTCCTTGCAAAGCCGTTCACTATAACTTCCACATAATGCTTTCAGCATTTTTAAGTTTCTGAAACTGAAATGTCATCTCAAACCGCATCCGGTCAGTGGGTCGCGTCCAATCTAACCACCCATTACAGAAGAGTACAGAATTTTCTGAAACTATCTTAACAAAAGATATCAAACAATTCTCATGCCACTGTATATATCAGGGGCAGCAATGCAAACGCTTTCTGTATCCGAAGAGATGAATTATGAAACTGTTACAAGCTCCGCTCCCGTACTCCTCTACGGTTCTGGCTCATCAAACTGTGGGTACTCTAACATCTCAGAAGCTGAATTGGCAAGGGAACAAGAAAAACAATGAGATAATTAGGGATCATATCATGGGTATTACAGCAGTGAGACCTAATCAAGAGTGGAAAGAATAGATAATAGTAGACAGTCAGCCCCAGATTGACAACTATTGGCTATTTATAAGAAAAAACACTATTGGCTATCAAGCAAAACAACTGAATGTATCCGAACTGGGGAAGATTATTGGAACAACTGAAATTCTGAACTGACCACCATGGTATGAAATGCAATTCTCACCAAACAAAGTAGAGCATTACCTCAAGCACAACTTGAGTGAAGTGTTAAAAAAACAGAAAAATCAAGGAGAGGGTAGCACAGGCAGCAACTATGAAAAACTACAAAATTTCTCTGAACAACTGGGCTAAGGAACAGGCAAGTAACATTTCCTGTTGTCCGTATGACATTATGATCTACTCGAAGTCTATCATGCAAATATTTTTTACTGATCTCTTTGCATAACAAATTCAGAACAGTACAAAACAAAAGCAGAGTCTAGTTCTGAACTAGTTCTGCTGATCCCTCAAAAAAAAATCAGAGCTATAGAACTACCGTAAGCTATGGGCTATGTTGCATTGCAATCCACACTGGCATTACCGCTTAAAACATTAAACATCGCACATGCTGAAATCGTAAGAAGCACATAAAGTGCTGCACACACTACTGCGAAAGTTGCAGAGTTCTCACCTGGTGATCCGGTGGTGATCACGATGATGTCCATGGTATCTACGTTATTAGGCAGGTCTGTGATAAGCGGGATTACGAGCCCATAGATGCCGGCCCGCACGCACAAGGTGATGTTCTCGTCATCCTGACGGGCCGCCACCTCGGTCCTCAGGTTGGACACGGAGTAGTCGTAGAAGCTGAATTCAGGCCAGTTGTCATGAATAATGCTCCCATCATCGCTCATCCGCACATGCCGGATCATCCGCCCCGGATACGGATACACCTTGGCCCACCGCTTGAACAGGCCACGGCTTACATGAATCTGTTGCAATGGAACACTTGTGTTTAATACTGAACATGTCTGAAAACACATTGTACTGAGAAAGAAATATTCAGAGATAAAGTTCTTTACAAATTTCTCATAAATATCAGAAAAAATATATCATTGTGAGACCAAGACCAAATCACTCAAACCCCTCTAGTATACATCATGACAAAGAACTCCAACGGTTGCTTCAACTAAGACTTGACACATATGAGTTCAGGACGTACTAACATGATCTGATGCAGATTAACGATGACACAGCAATTCGTAAAGTGACCACAATCTAGAACAGACAACAATTTCTGGATAAATGGTAGGAAATGGGAAGGTAAACAGGATTAATGTGATCAATAATTGCATCCTAAAGAACACCAAATGCAGAGGCTCGGGAATACAAGAAACCGTTACTAGAGCTTGCTAGGAGCGTGGGATACCGAATTAGAACTTTCGAGAGACTGATCGCCCAAATTTCATCAGGAAGAATTAGCAGGTTCAGTCTTGTTTCGGAAGAAGTGAAGAGTTCTATTAAGTTCAGACTTTGGAAAGAACAAACGCAAGGATTGCGGCCAGGAGAATGCAATAATCAGATTGGGCAGCTGTTGTTGCGAAAATCGACGCGAAGAAGAAACATCCATGCTTGGAAGGTGTCGCAAGAATCAAGTAACCCGTTCACGGGATGAACGCGAGCAGTTGAAAGGGGAAAGGACAGCGAACTCACCGGAGGTTGAGGTGGAGGCGGAAGGGGTAGCGGCTCCGGGCTCAGTGGGATGGCCTCGACCCTCCACTGCATCATCGTGGTCCGGCTGCCGTTCCTGGCATCGACGGTGACGACGTTATTCCAGTAGCGGTGCCTGCCGTTGGCGCGGAGGCAGCGGTGGTCGTTGTGCAAGCGGACGTAGTTCTGGCCGGGTTCCACCCTATGGGGCATCCACACGAAGGGAGCCTCCAGGTGCGGCGAGTTGTAGTCGCGCTGGACGGCGCGGACGCCGCGGTGGCCCGGCGGCGCGTCCGGCCTGTACGACTGCGAGACGGCGAGGTACCGGCCGTACGCGGCGCCCTGGAGGAGGAAGAAGGCGTCCCCTCCTTCGACGGGCCAGTGCTCCGCCTTCCACACCGCGTTCACGGACGGTGCGGCGCCGAGCGGGCGCAGCGAGACCCCGCGCGCGTCCTCGTCGGCGTGCACGTACTTGTCCCGCGCGCGGCTCCGCAGCCGCACGAAGCCCCCGTTCGGGAAGAGCTCCATCGTCGATCGCGGCGGACGCCGGGTGGTGGTGGTGGTGTGGTGGCGCGGCGACTGCGACGAGAGACGACCGGCGGGCTGTTGCGTGGAGGGGATTGGGAAGGGGAAGGCGAGAGCAGAGCAGGTGTTCGTTGGAATGGAACGGGACGGTTGCGTTTGGGGGCGCCACGCCGAGGCGGAGGCGGGGCTTTTCAAGTTCTGGACTCGCAAGCTTTGGTCGGTTGCGCTGGTGTCTCCTTCGGCTGACGTGTGGGGCCATTGCTGGGCCCAGATACGAGGCGGCCAGCCCGCGGTCCCACTAATCCAGTCGCCAGCTGGCGAATAGGCCTCGGCTGCTGCTGCGAATTTTGGTGAGACGGCATCATGAGCCCGGGCGTCAGGATCAGCAAGGAGAGCTACTTCACCCATCCGTGAGTTTCTGAAGCTGAAAGCCTGAAAGGACAATTCCTGAACTCTGAAACTGGTTCCGTGGCGCACTCCGATGGCTCGTCTCGCTTGGCGAACGCGAGGCCGCGTCCACTCTCCGTCGTCTGAAACTCGACTGAAAAACACTGTTCCGACTGGTTTGTTGTGAGAGAAAAACACTATTCGGCTGGTTTGGTGAACAGTAGCTTGAGAGGGGTTCCACCCTGCTGGCTGGTCTCGGTCAGACCAGCGAACGGCCCCATAGGGACGGCCGGACGGGTAAGACCCCAAGGGCAAGGCCGCCGAGGCATCGTGCTGGACTGCTGGCCTGCACGGCGAGTCAGTCAACACGACGCGACGGACGAGGCCATGGACGTCTACCACGAGATAGGACCGGTTCGATGCACGCCGGCGTGCCAACACAGGCGGCGTACTCTGGGACTTCAACGGCGATGTGGTGACGTGTGACGCGTGATAGCCGGTATTCCTGTGGCTTCGACTGATCCAGCCGTCGAGATTGTTGTTGGGCCCGTTGCTTGTTTAGAAGTTCTGCAGAGACTGCAGATCAAGGGAACAGCAATGTAAGGGTTTACTGGTGGCAGCAATGTGTTATTTTCAGCACTTTGTGCAGTTGACTGGCACGGCTTAGTGTTTTTAGAGGAGTTGTGTGAAACAGACGAACAGTGTCGGCACAATCTTTCCGAGCGTGTTTGTTACCCTGGCCGAGGGTGGCCCGTCCTTCCCACCCCAGCCAGGCCAGCCCAAGGCAGGTCAAACTGGTGCAACTGTCCCTGTTTGTTTCTTTGGCCCATTTAGGAAGTGGTTGGGGGATGGGAATGTGTTTTTTTGCCTGGCCCAAGTGGCAGATTTCCCCAACTATCATCAACTTCTCAAATGGGAAGGTGTTTGTTTGCCTGGACGGCTGCTGGTGCTCCAGCAACCACCAGCAGTGCCAGCAACGGCCCTTGCAGCATCAATGAACAGCCCCAAATTGACAAGTTCAAACTCAACATTAACACCACAAGTGTACCATTACATTAGCAGCTACCTAAGCCCCAAATTGTCAAGTTCAAACACTGATGAATATAACCAGTTCATAAGCTGAGCTTCATCCACAAGTAAACCACACAGACTAGCAGTAGAACAAGTAATATATTCTTGAGTGACAAAGATGGAGGAGGGGCTGGATTAGGAGAGGGCAAGTCATCAGCACCACACAAGAGATGGTTTGAGTTGTTTCTTGAGTTGAATGCAGCCTGGGCATCAGCATAGGAGTAGTACTTCTTATATGAATTACCAAGGAACCGATTCACCTGGTCATGGCACTCAGCCCAACTGGAGTAAACTCCAGGCTTATGGCCATTGAAAACCACATACCATGGACTCATCTCAGATCTGCAAAATGGAAGAAGCTGCCTTAGTTTACTTTAGAGATTAAAGAAAATGAGCAAAGTAAAGTAAACATCATTGGCAGCAGTGTATTACAGGCCTCAGTCATGTGGTTGATTGTCACATACCACCATTTCACTTCATGTGCCTTTTCCAGATGTTTAACCAAACTATAATTTGGTTTATGCAACAGGAGAAGACGCAAGAAGCAAAGTTTATGGCCTGCATCATAATCCATCCAACATGGAACACATCATTGGCAAAGATCAATGTTGGCCTCAGATATATTGAAATTCATATGTCATTGTTATAGAATCATAGGTGGCACTGATGAAGTCAGAAAAAGATCAAGGCAGCAAAGAATCAAGCACTGGGCAATAAAACTCAAGCACTAGACAATACAAACTCAAGCACTGGGCAATAAAACTCAAGCACTGGACAATACAAACTCAAGCACTGGACAGTACCAAAAGAGAGTGTTTATTTGCCTGGACATAGCAGTTAGCAGCCAATAAACACCCAGGGCTGCAGCTTAGAAGGAAGAACCAAGAACAACAGAATCAAGAAAAAGACAGTGCCACCTCATCATACTATTTCATCATCATAGGCCTTTCCCAAATTCTCACCTTCACAACCCAGTTAACAAATCCAATGGTCAATGGTTGCATAGCATGGGACATGCCCATCCTCAGCTAGCAGCATGAGAATAGCATATCATGAAGTTAATTGGGAATGGACGTATCCCATGGTGTTTCAAACCATGAACCAAAAGCAAAACAACAAATGATGACAGAAACTTACCAGTAGTGGTGAATGGTTGCACATCATGAGATGCACCCATCCCCAGCTAGCCAAATGATGAAACATCAACACATCAGATAGTTAATTGGGTATGGATGTATCTCATGGTGTGGCAGACCAGCCAACCAAAAACCAAAACTGCAAACAAAATAAATAGGCAACTCATGCATAAATACATTAGGACATATGAATATCTAAATAGTTCCAACCAGTCATGTCCATCTCAAGCCTTACCAGTTCAAGTACCAGCAGACACAGCTGGCATCAACAACAACAAATATTACATAAATACGGTTAGCCACCCCCCAAATGAGCAACCAAAAAACCCCCAAAAGGACAGGTGCTAGTACGTCAAGCTACCTTGCTGCACAAAAGGCCCTAAATCACTGCACAAAAGATCAGGGAAGGAGAGTGGTTAAGGAGGGTGGAGAACATATAAGGGTTCTCAACTGCTTCCCTCCTCTAGCTTGCTGTAGAGGTAGAGTGCAAGCATCCTAGATGTAGTGGTGCTTGGCCAGGAAGTTCCTAAGCCAGATCACCCTATGGTTGTCCACCATGTCCACAAAACCCTTACCTTGTGCCTTGTTGTCCAGAAGGTGGCTGAATGCCACAATCAAGGCCTCCTCTGTGAACCCAGGCATGTCCATCATAGCATTATAGAGATCAGCATCAACATGAGCAGGCCCAGTCTCCCTCAAAGCATTGGCCACATTGTTCACTGCATCAGTCATATTGGTCATGAGCATCATCTCATCCTCACTAAAGCAAGACCTCTTCCTCTTCCCACCCACTGTAGAGCTGTTAAGCTCAGTGGCCTTGCTGCTCTCACCAAGGTTAGACTTCTCATACCCCAGCTGGTGCCCAAATGTGCACTCCATCTTGCCTGCTTGATGTGACCACGCCAGCGTCGGGGACCTCTCCGACCACTTCACCAACCTTGGCGGCCTCTCCGATCACCTCGGCGATCTCTCCGACCACCTCGGCGACCTCTCCGACCACTTCACCGACCTCGGCGACCTCTCCGACCACCTCGGCGATCTCTCCGACCACCTCGGCGACCTCTCTGACCACTTCACCGACCTCGGCAACCTCTCCGACCACCTCACCAGCTGATACACCACTCCAAGTCCTTACTGGACCCATCACCCGTAGCCGCGCCAAAAAGATACAACAAGAGGTCCACGCGCTACTTTGTGAATTTCAATTAAACATTGATGGTAATTTCGAGCTACCTCAATCGTGCATGTTGTTATTACTCAAGTTCTCCGAGGAGGAAGACAAGGATACATCAAGGATGGATCAGAAAGAAGAGCTACGTTCGAGTCAATCCAGCATGACAGAATCATCCAGAAGAAACAGTCATATCTTTTGTCTCCCAAAAGCTATGAAGGTGAATGAGCGCTTGTTGGAAAGATCTTGAAGCCTAGTTTCCAATGCTGTCATGTCCGACCAGTTTGGAGTGTCCAGCGTGGCGTCCGACCAGTTTTAGTGAAGACTGCTCCGAAGCTCAACAGTCTGCATGAAGCTAAAGATCCCATGCAAAACTATACCATTCTACAATAATTCGTGGTGCATAGCATACATGGTTGGGAAGATGATGAAGTTAGCTTTCCCACGCATCCAATGGTTCGTCATTTGGATTTTCCAGGAAGGAGTTATGACCAAAACATTAAAGACTGCCTAGAAGCCCAGAAGACACGCGGAAACTGAAGACCACCTCGTGCGTTGACCTTCCACCTCCCAACATGGCTTCTTCAGTTCACATCTATCTTAGAGACTTCTCATAGTATAAATATTATCTCTAGACTATTAGAAAAGGACTTTTGATGATTTGATAATTCCAGTGATATTGCAGCCGAGCTGCCGAGTGCTTACTCAAACCATTGTTCTTCCTGGACTTGTGAAGAGATTCCTCTGGGATCCACTAGTTCGTGCTTTGCGGGTTCCAGTACGGCTGCCCCGCCTTGTGTGGATTAGCTCCGGTTGTGGTTCTACGGTCGTTCGGAGATCGAGTCGAAGTCTTCGTGGTTTCGGTGTCTCTCTCCCCGTCGCTTGGTCGCATCCAACCCTGGCCAGGTATAAAGCTAGTTACTCCGCTATTCTTTAGCAAGTTACATTTGCTTTCCGCTGCCTTGTTGCAAGTTATCTTGTTTGAGACCTACTGTCGTGAAGATCGGGCCAACTCCCATACTAAAATAGTTTCAGTACCTATCATGTGGTATCAGAGCTTCGGATTGACACGGTAGGTCTTGCCGTCATCCACATCGTTATCCTTGATTAATCTACCTCATATATTTGTGTTTATTCATATCCTATAGTCCATAGCCACACAGAAAAAAAATACCTATAACCATTTCGCGGTACTGTTACGTTGTGTTTTGTGTTCATCGAGTTGCTAGTCACCACCA